AGCTATACCCTTGGGAGGCCTAAGTTGCGCAGTTTGAGGGTGAAGCCGATGAGGTGGGTTAGGAAGTCTGGGGCGTGGATGCGCCCGTCCACGAAGACGGCGCGGTAGATGTAGGGGTGAGAGAGGGTGGAGAACGTTGATGACTGTGGATTCTGTGAGTATATATATCTTGTTGGAGGGATTGAAGAGGGGTGTGGGAGTCGACTTACTTCGAGAGAAACGAGCTGGTCGTCAATGCTGCCGACGTAGAGAATTCGAACGCCGAAACGGAGGACTTCGTCTAAGGCAGCGAGGTACATTTGACTGACCAGACTCTTGGGGTTAGAAAACTCAAAGAGCTCAGCGGCTGTGGGACCGAAGTATTTAGTCTTGTACTCGATAAAAGGTCCCATATTTACACCTGCCATGGCGCAGATGCCTATCCTCGTGGCATTGACGCAGCCAAACTGAATCAGTTTTGCAACAAGCATCATCGCCACTGGTACACCTTGTGAGTGACAAGCAACCAGGATGAAGTCAGCAGCTTTGATGTGATCTATCCAATTAAGGAGCAACTTCCAAAGGGAGTTGACGCGCTCAGCGACAAAGCCTTCGCCTTCGAGAGCGATTTGCTCAATCTCAGGGCTGTAGCCACGTACCTCGGCCCAATCCTTGATGGCGGCTGCGGCTGCATTTGCAAAGCGTATTGATGTCCCCGTAGGTTGTCCAAGCACTTTCTGGATGATGGGAGCAGGGAAGAACCCGTGTACACCAATAGCCACAGCTTTCTTGATTCTAGGCGGCGCAGGATGGATATGTAGATGTGGTGTGGCAGGCTCGCCACCAAGAAAGTATTGACGGACTTGCTTCCAGAAGCTGGGTTGTTGCACCATCTTATACGTCGAACTGAACTCGGGCAAAACAAGATCTGTTGGCTTCGATTTACTTTTCGCGACTTGCTTGGATGCAGGTTCTTTTGTTAGTGGTGGGTCAGGACGAGTTGGCTCCATCACAGGCGAAGTCTTGGTAGGCGTGTTAGACTCGCTCGACTTTGATGTGTCCTTTGACTCCACTGCAACTTGTGACTTGGGTCGCCCTCGCAAAGAGGCAAAAGACCTCTTTGATGTGGTCTCTGCCTTTGGTGGCGGTGGGTCTTTTGGTGTATCATCTTTTGGCTGTTCTTGCTCATTGAACTGAGCAGCTTCTGGGTGCGATTGAGACGGTGTATCCATTACGGCTACTTCGCCCACATGTTTCTGAGCACCACCTGCAGCTGGCTTCTTCTTGTCTGCAGGGCTGTCTCTATACCAAAATGCCCAGGCCGAAGACTTTGGCGGCCCCTGGTTTGTAGCCGTGGTTTGTGTAGCCTCGGCAGGTGCAGTCGCTTCTGCACCAGTTTCTGCCTCATGCACAGGCTGTGTGTCAGAGGGTAACTCTGCTGCTGCTTCAGAGATCCGATCCAACTTGGATACAGAGCCGTTGGATGTCGAAGGGTCGACAGCCGGACTGGCTTGAGAATTCTGTGCACTGCTCCAGAGCCTGAACCACGAACCGCTGCGGCGATTTGCTGTGTTGGTCGCACTGGGTGCATCTGTCATCTCAGTATCCTGCACGGGGCGTGGGTCTGTTGGTGCATCCTTTGTTTCGGCCTCCTGCGCCTGCTGACCTGTTGCTGTGCTTCCAAGCCCCTTTGTAGCCATGTCTGGTTCTTCTGAAGGTGTTGGTCCCGGCAGTGGCGTATTCTGCGCATTCTCGACATTGTCTTGTGCCTCGCTCTTAGCCTTGGTCGCTTCTGAGTATCCATCCGGCCGTGACCACCAACTCCGCCATGCCCATGTGTTTGCTGCAGTATTCGCTTGCTTTGTGGCTGGTTCGGGGGGTAATGGGGGTTCGTCGACGCGAGGCTCGTCTGAGGGTGGCGCCTCCTCTGCGGGTGGCGTTTCTTCTGGCTTTGGCTTGGGCGCCTCGTCCACCATGCCGTCTGTTGAGACGCTGATTTGCGTTATAGAGGCCGGTATCACGTCGCCTTTGCTCGATTTACGCTTGGTCAGAAAGTGTTTGGGCGAGTCGTCTCGCGACCTGTTTGCTCCTTTGCGCGGCAGCTCGCCAGTAGAGCCTGAAGTGACACCGATGCTCTCGGTTGCTGTCTTGACTATGGCAGGGGCTTTTGATCGCCAACTACCTGTGCCCGACAGCCACTTCTTGCCTTTGGGTGTCTGCGTGCCTGGCGTGGTAGGTGGCGTTGCACTGCTTGCGGACGCGGTCGAAGCAGCTAGTGACTTGACCGACGAGGGCGCATTTGGCAAGATTCCGCTGGCGTTTGGGGTGCTTGAGGGTGTTTTGGCTACATCGACGTCACTAGGGACGTCTGACTTGACGCTGCTGCTATCGGCGGCAGGTGCCTTGGTGTTTAGCTTTGCCTTCTTGCGTGGAATCATTCCTATGAGGTTGGAGAGGGGGAAGGGTTCAAGGTGAAGGACTCAAAAGGAGTGAAAGAGGCGGATGGGCCTCTCTAACAGGCAGTGTACCGGTGTGGCTCTAGTAGCACATGGCAGTGCTTTTCGCCAAGTTCGGAATTTACCGGACTTCTCAGACAGAACC